AGCCTGCTGCGTGTCTCTGAGCACTACAACTGTTGCCTTCACAAAGCATCAGCACTCGGAGCAGGGACACTACCGAAGAGTGTCTGACAAATATATGTATGTGTGGGGACCGCTCGTGACATGGTGAGGCGTCTCGAACACGACAGGGCTCTGCAGAGGAGCTGTGGCATGGGGATGTGGGGACACAGAGTTCCCTGCTTTCTCCATTCTTTGACTCTTGCTTCCTCACTGGAGAGCTTTGGAGGCAGCAGCTCGCTCCCATCAGTTGCAGCCCCCACCACCCTCGGTCAGGAAGTGTTGTCCATATATATAACGTAATAGCAATAATTCCATGGCTCAGTCATTGAAGGCACGGGTGCAGAACCCCAGGGCTGAAAGCATCCCTCTGGAGTTGCCCAGTCAGACCTTGGCCTCACCCTGCTTGCCCTGCCTGCATCCTTTGTTCCCAAGGAAGGCCCAGAGGTGACTATGGATGCCTTTTAAAATGTTTATCGTCACATTATCCATCAGATACATATTTACAATCATTCATTAAATTAGGATGTACGTTTCATTCTTCTTTCTTGGAATATTAATGCCTACTCCTGGCTGAAATGCCATATGAATATTCATTAAAAAATCAATCAATCCCTGTGCCAGGAGTGATGTCATTTGAGCAATAACTGAAGCCGTAATCGAGCATGCGATGAAAAAAACGACAAATGCCACCAGATCTAATGTTTATTGAACTGGGTGTGGGTAAATCACGGTAGGGTTTTTCCATGCTTTCTGTGCTAAAGCTCTCTCTCTGATTCCTTTGGGGGGCTGTGGTGAGCCTGTCCTGCCAGCACCCAAAGGAGCTCTGGGCTGCGGCGATGGATGAGTGGGATGTCGTGTTGCTGCCGAGCTGCTAATGAGGATCTTGTCAGAAATTAGTCTTCTGACAATGGGAAACAAAAGCTCTCAATGCTATTGTGGGAAATCTTCTTGAAAATGGATAGGCTGAAGTCTACTTTCCCATAGATCTCAGGCTGGTGGAGCTTTCTCACTGCTTATAGCATTGGCCAGGCAGCCCTGTGGTGCCATCGCTTAGGTTGCCCTATGCATCGAGTGCTGACTGTGCTTGGGTTGGGCTCCGTGCTGAGAAAGCAGCAACTCACTTTTGGGAGTTATCATTATTACTGTGCAATCCCTCAAATTGAGATTTTCCCAACAACAGTGAAGGATCTGTGCCAATGCGTGGGCCCCGACATGGCTCCCATGATAAGATCACACTGTTTGTGCGGAAAATAGTGAGAGCTTTGGCTTGGCTTCAGCAGCAGTCATTTTGGAAATCTTTTGTGTGCAGTGCACCTGGATGGTAGGAGAGGTCATCTCTGCGATCTGCTTTGTGCCTGAGCTGCCATTTAAAAGCCCTCTATCAGCTCCACAGAACAAATGGTGCGGAACATTTATCCTGGGGAGAAGTTGGGTTGATTGTAGCTAAGTGTATTTTCTAAGGTAGCTCTAGCATTCCAGGGAAGAGATTGTAAAGACCTCTTATAGCAGTGGTGAGTGCCTGGGACAGGAGAGAGCTGCTGCTGGGGCTCAGGGCGCTGGGGGGCTCAGCAGCACTGAGGCTGGGCAGCAGGCTGAGGGCTGCATCCTTCCACTCAGCTCAGAGAAAGTCGAGCAGCTGGGTCCCTGCGTGCGGAAGGAGTATCTGAAAGCAAAGGTATTTTAATCTTGCGGATGGTGCCAAGTCAAATTAAACACAATTTCTGAGCAGTCAAAGCAATTAACCATCAGGATCATTTACAAGAAGAAGTGTCTATCCACCAACACTTTGCATCTTCAAGATGAAAGGAGATCTTTTTTCTGAAAAATTTATTTTAATGCTGCTCCTGGGAGAGGTGCCTGCAGCCTGCATGCAGCAGCCGGAGCTGCGGGGCTTCCTTCCAGCACAGGGTCCAGGAAAGCAGCACAGCAGGCATCAGCTCTTGGGATGGGAGTTTACCAAGGGGAAAACGCCTCCTGGGACCGCTCGGCAGTCACCGAACCATTACAGAAGGAGTGCCTGTTTGAAAAGGCCAATGCTGCATTATTTTTGTTATTGCCATCCCCTCCTCTCTCCAGAGGCCTTGAAAGGAAAGAAGCAGCACCGGGCACTTCTGGAGCAATTCTCATGATGGGAACTCAAGGATTTCTGTATTTACAAATCAGCAAAGCCTTTTTACATGCAACCTTCCACCAGCTCAGCGAGGACAATGCAAACCCCTTGGAGACACTCCCATTTGTGTTTGTTTTAACTTATTCCCAATCATCTTCATGTAAAACAATGAGCGTGGCTGTAGTCATAAGAAGCGCCGCTCTCACGGTGCCAACCGTGTGTCACAGTGAGCTGCCTGTGCTGAGCCTGCCTGCCTGATGTAAGCAGCTGTGCTTAGAGAAGTCAGCAGCTATTGCAATCTGGTTGTGCCACCTCGGCTGGCTGTTGCACAAGGGCTGTCCCCATGCAGGGCAGTGTTAGAGGACGGCCCTGTGCTGGCTGTGCTGATGCCTTTGGAGCAAACCCCAGCTCCCTGTCAGGCACATCACTCTGCCATGAATGAATAGAACATGTCATTGAGGGTTTGGGATGCATTTTGCTTTGCAGCTTGCTGATGGTGTGTTCATGCCAATGGACTCCGTATGGCAGTAATACAGCTGTTGTGCCCTCTCATATGAGCACCAATTATGCTAGAGTGTCAGCTACGTGTGCCATGCAGGGAAGGTTCCTGGCAGCAGGTGATTTTCTCTCCTTTCCAGCCTGCATCGCAGTTCACAGCACAACAGAAGAACTGGTTCTGTGCATTGGTACAGGCAGGTAACACTTCTTCTGCCTCCAAACAAAACGTGTGCTCCAGCTGCAACAAGGTGTCTGAACGAGGCAGCCTTTCTGCTCTCAGAGCCCTCTGAAGGTCTAACAAAGCAGCTCTCCTACAGAATTCCAAACTTGTGCATTACTTCCAGGGTCCCTTCCTGAGCTGGCACAGCTCCACTGTGCAGAGATGGCCCTGCAGCACACAGCGAGGGATGAGGACCGGACACATTGGTGGATCATTTCTTTGTGGGGTTTGCCAGGAAGCCACGTGTCCATGAAGTGCATCCACCTTCCCTGGTTTGTTCAGAGCATGGGTGTGATGTTACCTCACCATGCCTGAGGAGTGGGGTTCAGTGGCATGCAGTCTGTGGCTCCTGGTGTGGTCCTGCCATGTCCTGCAGTTCTGCCTCTGCTGCTTTGCCACACTGCTCTCACTTAGCACATCTCCTGCACGAATGGAAATGCTGGGTGTTTTATCAAGTGATTTTTTCAGCCCTCAAGCCGTTCTTCAATTTGAAGTGCTTGATTAAAAAAAAAAAAAAAAAAAGAAGAAGCTCAGGGAAGAGAAAGAAAGAAAACATTTTCGTCAGCCCGAAATCACTTTGCAGACATTATGGAAAATGCTGCCTATTTTGTCTCCTCTGCTCTCCGAACCAATCTTTTGCATTAAATTCAGCACAGCAGTAAATAAACACGTTTTCTCAGGCCCTGCAGCTATAGCGAGCCATCAAATGGTGCTTAAGAAATGTTCCTTTCTCCATCACAGATCATGCTTTAAAAGTCCATGGCTGAGGGGAGCAGGGTGCTTTCCGGAAACACGTGGTGCTTCCAATGGGATGCCCTGCACACATCCCATGGCTGACAGCCCCTGCAGCCCCACTGCACCCATGGAATGTGCTGGAACATGCTGGAACACGATGGAACATGATGGAACATGCTGGAGCATGGAGGAGGTGCAGGAGGGCTGATGGTCCTCAGCGAGACGCAGGGAGAGGAGCAGGGGGTGTCACATCTTCATAAGGGCATGATTGCTTTATGTCCAAATGCAGTTTGGGACATATTTCTCGTACATCACTTCAAAAAAGAAAAAAAGGAGATTTTATCTTTTGCAGCAGAGGAAATGTGTTTGTCCTGACCTGACACTGTTTTTTAAAGTGTCGAGTGCTAATGAAATTCCTCAGCCTTGAGCAGCTCTGAGCATCCAATGCTGGTTTTTAAGATATGGGGACATTTTTCTGCAGATTTTAAGGCAGCCTCAAAATGATGAATGCGTGAGAGGAGAGAAACTTCCAGATCCAAAGAAGTTCTGACACAATCCTGCATGCAAAGCAGACAGAAAGAGGCTCATACTTTAAAGGGGCTTTTGTTATCCCTTTGAAATTTATTTAGAAGACACGGGGCTAACGCTGCTCGCTTTGATCGTGCAAATAGGTTCACCGATCTTAATATTTGGGGCTTGGAGACACGAGAAAGCAAAACGAGGCTTTTGAGGCTGGGGACTAACATTCGGAATGAAAATTCGCCCTCCTCCCCAAGTGCCGCATCGGGTAATCCCGCTTTTGTGTGTGATGCTCCACAGGTTTCTGACGGCGGGGGAATGGTGCAGAGGATCGGGGGGAACGCGGTGCCCTTCCCGCAGCCCCGAACCCCGCAGGGTCTCCTCTGGGGCGCCGGGGCGGCACTGCGGGCTGCGGCTGGGCGAAGGTCGGGGCTCGGGAGCGCGGCTCCAGGACGCGGAGCTCGGCGGGTCCCACCGCCCCCCCCCTCCCCCCGTGAGCCGGAGCTGCTGCGCTGCGTTCTGTCCTTTCCGACACCCGGCAGGTTCCGCATGGCAGCGGCGTTCTGCATAGCAGCTCCGTGCCACCGACACAGCGTGCTTGGAGTCTGACCGCTTCCACCTCCCTCGGTGATTTTTATTTTTTCTATCTATCTCCTTCTGTTTCTGCCTTTACATCAACGTTCCGAACGGAGCCTCGGCAGCAGCGGGGCGGTAATGCCGCTCTCTCCCACCCAGAAGTGCCCCCCGGCCCCGTTCCGAGCTCGGAGCCGCTCCGCGCCCGCCGCCCGCTGCCCCCCGGCCGGACCGCCCGTGGTCCCTCCTCCTCCCCCGCCCCTCTCCTCCTCTTCCTCCCCCTCCTTCTCCTCCTCCTCCTCCTCCCCCCCCCGCGGCGGGGCCGGCCCGGTGGGGCCGCCTGTCTGCGGCGCCCGGCGCTGCTGGGCGAGGTCAGGGAAAGTCCATGTGAGGAGCCGCTGGAATCACTTCCTGCTGCCGCCGCCGGGACCGCCGCCACAGCCGGCACCGCCGCTAGGCCGAGCAGCGCCGCGCCGCGCGTCCATGGGGCCGGAGCCCCGCAGGTGGGCGCCGCTGTGCCCGGGGGGCTGCGGGGTGGGAACCGGGGCTGAGAGCTGGAAGCGGGGCTGCGGGGGACTCTGCGGGACGCGGCGTGCGCTAAGCCGGCTGCTCCTCCGCCCCGCGCTGCCCCCTCGGCGAGGGGAGGGCGATGCGTCCCCCTCCGGTGTCTCCTCCCCGGTGTCCTCTCCCCATCCTTGTGGCCGGGATACGGTACCGGAGGCCTGGGGAGAGAGGGGACGAGGGGAAGCGGGGGGGAGGGAGGGGGCGGTCGGCGGGCACACGCGGCTCCCCCCGGCTGGGGGTCCGAGCCGGAGCCGTGCCCGGTGCTGGGCCGGGGGGTGCGCGGCGATCTGCGGCAGGCGGTAGTTAAAAGTGCGTTCGCTGTGTCAAGGACTTCTCTAAACATCTTCCCTGCTGTAGGGAAAGAAAATGACAGCGGTACATTGTGTGCTCCGCCGCGCCGGGCTCGCCCATACGTATTAGCGGCAAAGTACAGAATCACTTAAAGCGAAGTCTCCATTACATGCTGGGTCATTAATTTGAATATTCACTTGTGTGTTTCCTCCTTTCAGGAGGCATTTGTGAGATTGCGGGCGGCTTGATGTGCTCCGTGCCTGCCAAGTGTTTGCCTCGTGTCCTGCGTTATTGACGCGCTGGCACACTGCTGCACCTTCCCCGGCTGAAATATTAAACAGTAGTAGGAGCTGAAAGCAGTAAACAAAGCTGAATTCCTGCTGCCTTCCCAGGGAGTGCAGGGCTGTGTCATGGGGGCTCTCAGAGCTGTGTGCCCCCGGGGTTCCTGCAGGAGAACCCCTCACCCCCCCCCATCCCTGCAGATGGAAGGAAGAAAGTAAGCTGAGAGCTGCTTATTAGCTGGATGTGTGTCACTTATGGGACAGTACATACATAACCTCAAGGTGTGGGCACTGCAGGTATTAGCAGTTTGGTCTGCAGCAAGGAGCACGTATGAAATAACGAGGGATCCTGACCTCCTCCTCCTGAGAGTGGATGTCCTTCCAACGTCCACTGAAGGAGCTCTGGGCACCGTGTGTTCCTTTATTCTCCTGTAGAGGTCTTAGAATTAAGGCTCTGTAGGAGTAAAGTGGAGATACGTGGATGTTAAAGGGGTTTCTCAGGCTGAAATCTCTGGAAGGAAACTTCCAACGCTTGCTAAGTATTTTGGCTAGGTGGAGAGAAAGCAGATTGCAGTAAAATGCAGAACCAGGTGCTCTGCATGTGGCGTCAAGGAGCTGGAAGAGGCTGCCCAGAAAGGCTGTGGATGCCCCCTTCCTGGAGGTCAAGGTTCAAGGCCAGGTTGGATGGGGCCCTGGGCAGCCTGGTCTGGTATTAAATGTGGAAGTTGGTGGCCCTGCTGTGGCGGGGGGCGTTGGAGATTCATGATCCTTGAGGTTTCTTCCAACCCGGGCCATTCTGTGATCCTGTTAAGGGCAGGCAGTGTGGCACAACGCACACTTCACATTCAGATGGGCTGCAGAATGGCCCAACATAGCTGCCCCAAAATCACCACTGGCCCCATAACCTTGAAGGGGTTTCCTTGAGCTTTGCAGAGGCTGCTTAAGGCGATCCTGGCAGGAAAAATCCTCACATGTTGAAACCCTGCAGAGTTCCAGTGCACCCCATCAGGGCTGGCTCTGCCCTGTGCTCCCCCATGGATGCTCTGTTTGCAGCACTGCAGAGGAATTGCTGCAGAGAAGCCTCCGGACCCGGCTGTGCTCATCCGAGTCAGGATGCAAACCCTCTGGTTCTGGAATGGAAATATTTATTTTAGAGCTCCTTATTATAAAGTCAGATTTCCCTGCCAGGCCTTCGGGAGGGCCGGCGCGGGGCTGCGTGCTCTGCAGATACAGACTTTATTTGAAAGCCTTTATTGACATAATAGCACTTAAATCGGTGCACGGCGCTCGGATGCGATAGGAGCACGCTTTGTAAAGGATTGTGTGGAACCACTGGGTTGTGGATAAACATAGCAAAACAGCCCCGTGAAGCGGCGATGCGACCGTGCTGCTGCTTTGCTTGGTACAATGCCTGTGTTTAAAAATACCCGGGCCTGACAAAATGGGGTTAGGATGAGGCTTCAGCCACACGTTTGGATTTAGCCCAGGTTTTTGGAGCCGGGCAGCTTTGTAGCAGTGGGCTGGGAGGAATGGGTCCAGTGATGCTGAAGGGCAGAGAACTGAAAAGAGAGCTGTGCTGTCATTGCTATTTCTTTTTTTTCTTTCCTCCTTCCTGCATTTCTTTGGTTCTAGTTGCATTTTCTTTCATTTCATTCAAGCATTCAGCATGGAGGAAATTAAACTGAACGGCGAGTTCCCTACAGCCCCAAATGGGCACAGAGCGCTGCGTCCTGCTGCAGCCAGCATGGCTTTGCCAGCACCCGGACCCCACAGCTTCACTGCCACTGGGGCTCAGCTGCTGCTCCTCGGGATGGAAACACCTACAGGGTGTGTGCCGTGCAGGGCTTTTTTTAATCAAGCCAGCGCAGAAACTGAGAAATAGGTTAAGCATGCTAAGGAGGGTGAGGCTGCTGGTTTTCTCTACCTGACTTTATTTGTGAAGTGACAGGAATTTTGACAGCCTTTGTGTCTTTTTTAGCAAATCAAGTGTCATGCCAGGTTTGCCTGTGGATGAGATCATTTGCAAAATATGCTTCCCAGCTTGCTTCAGGCATAATTCATTGTGTCAACTGCAATTGCTCATTTGCTAGGAACTGTGATTCATTAGCGATTTTTTTTTTTTAAGTTCGACTTGTTTTTAAAGCAAATGTTTGGAGGCAGAACAGAAAATTAAAAAAAAAAAACAAAAAAAACAACCACACAGATAACAAAAAAACCCTTTAAATCGTGCAGTGTTTCTACCCACAAATGCTGCTGTGAAGGGAAAACTTGTTAGAACGGCCCGGTCCTGGGCAGGGCCAAGCAGCCCCTGGGACTGCTCAGCTGCGCGGTGTTGCACTCATTTTTGTCATGTGATTGCTCCTAAATGGGGACAGAGGTAATAATGCTCATCCTGCGGGACCGCCTGCGCCACGTGGAGGCTTCAGGGCAGCGGGACGGACGGGCAGACAGATGGACAGATGGAGGGACGCTGGGCAGGGCTGGGGTGAGCTGGGCAGAATGGCACCCGAGGGTCCCAGCGCTCACTGTGCTCCTGCTCTGGGTGTTTTAGAGTTTCCCAAATCAGATTTTAAAAAATAATACCAAAAAAAAAAAATTGCATCTCGGGGACATTTTTATGTTTCCTTTCCCGTGGATGGAGGCAAATATTTCAGTGCATTTTTTTTGCTGTAGGTGGGTGGATGGGGGAGAAATCACTGCTGCTGCTTCAGCAGCCTCTAACTCCCCTCCAACACCAAACCAGCATGCGGGGGCTACACGAATGGAAGTACTTTCCAGAAGAAAATATGTATGTATGTATGTATGTATTTCTAAACTTCTAAGTGATGGCGATCAGTGCTGGGCAGGCTGTTCTTCCCCATGCAATGGTTTGCTATGGGGTGCTGCTCCCATGCTGTCAGGGTGCTCCAAGTCAGTGGTGCGGGAAGCTGATGGCTGTGTGCTCAATGCCAATGTGAGGGGCTGCCCATCTTGAGGTCCATCCCTGGAGGTGTTCAAGGCCAGTTTGGATGGGCAGCCTGCTCTAGTATTAAATGGGGAGGTTGGTGGCCCTGCTTGTGACGAGGGGGTTGGAGATTCATGACCCTTCAGGTCACTTCCAACCCGAGTCATTCTGTGATTCTGTGGGGCACACCTATAAAGGCTCTGGGGTGAGATCTCTTCAGCTCACTGCCGACCCCATGGCAATCCAGCTGGTATCAGGACCTATTAATCATGTGCAAAAGCCAGAGGAGGAAAATCCTCTTTCTTTGCAGCATCCAATCTGTAGCAATCAGGGCTCTTTGGGATCTATTGATCCGGGGAGCAGAGCCAGATGTTTGCCATCCCTTTGTGCCTGCAGACAGAATTTCGGCGGCCGGTTGTGGGAAGTTGTGTGCAAAGAATTGTGAGTTAAGGATAGCAGTGCTGGTGCTTCGTCAGGCTCCTGGGCTGGGTGGCAGCACACTTGTGTGGAAAGGGTCCTGTGTGCCGGTGCCAGCGCTGGCGCGGCTCCACGAGCGCGTTTGTATCATGATATCCACTGGGGAAGCATATGGCAGCCTCAGTTATATATATTGTGTGGGGGCACATATTTTACATGCCAGTTCTCGCTGTCATAGGACAAACATTTACGCTCCGATTATATGAGGCATTAGAAAAACAAGAGCAGGGGTTGGAAATGCTATAATTCCTCGCGGGGATGTCGTAAAAGGCGCTGTTTAGTGGTGATATGGCAAGGGCAAAATTCAGGGGTGATAATGTTTCCATCCGTTGTGCTTTCAGGGTGCTAAGCTTTGTGGGAATTACGCTTTGAAGAGGTTTAGGTTGTATAAATACACCGCTGGCATTTCAAGGCACCCCACGTGGAAGGCAATGGCCAGGTGCTGGGGGAAGGTGAGGAGGCAGCATTTGCACCATGGGAGGCAGTCAGGGGCTTTGCCCTGATGTTGCAGGCTGGTGGTTTGAGCCGTGCAAAGCACCCACAGAGAGGGGCTCTCCCTGCCCTGCATCCCCCTGGGGTGCTTCTCAAGTCTGCAGCAGCTGGAGCAGCCTGCATAGCAGCAAGCCTGAGCAACAAGGAGTGCTGTGGGGTTAGCTTTTGTTGCTCTCATTACAAACTCAGTCTTACTGTGATTTGCTGTTGGTTACGTCTCTCTGGTTAATCTCATCCCTTCTCACAGGCTTTGGGGAGCTCCCAAGAAACAGGCTGCAAAGTACAGCTGTAGGTTTTGCGTTGTGTCATTTGGTCACTGCTCTGTGCAAAGAAAAGTTGTGGGGAACTTCATCTCACTGCTCTGCAGCCACCTCCTCCTTTGTGCATGCCCCTCCTGGCACACAGACACAAACACATGCCTGTGCTTAATGAAACATCATCACCTGGCTTTAAC